AATGATTTTATGATTCTATGATTCTATGTATTTTATCTTTCTTTTCTACTGTCTTTACAGAGGAAAGTGTCAGTTTAGAGTTTCTCTTGTCCTATCCGTTTTCTTCACAGAATTGCTGGCCTTAAGCTGTGTGCATGGGATAATACCTTTGTAATAGTAAAATCTTGGAAAATCTGGAAGAAAGGATATAAAATGGCAATAAGATTTTTTTTTTAAAGTACATCATTTTAGTAATAATATAATTAAAGCATCTGTCATCTGAAGGTTACATGGAGCTCTGTGTTGATTGTACAGCTTTTGGACCTGTCTGCTTTTGGCACTATTGAAAGATGCTAGGCGGGTTTTCAGAACAACCAAGTAACTTTAATGTCTGTTGAATCTGGGAATTACGGGATCTCAGTGCTTTTGATACTGAGATCAACTTGAAAAGTCATGGCAGCAAGTGAGCCTGTGTGGAGATTACCTGAGCTTTGCCTTTTTCTGAGGAAGCAGGGCTTAGCTGATGGAAATCTTCTTCAGCTTATTGTCTATCTCTAACTATTCTGTAGTTTTGGTATCAGCCATGTAAGTACACATACTTAAGTAGTGTCTTTCTTTTATATTTGTATATTCTTTGATAGGAAGGGGGAGAATGCATGCAGAAGACTTATGATCCTTGCACTTGTCTAATTTACAGCTGTGTTTATCCCTTTTATGATCAAGGTTGAGCAGCTCAAGAAACCTGAGCCCAGTTTCAGTAGGGACAGTGAGCCTAAAAATAGTAGCATCCTAATGCATCCTGAGCCACTGCATGGCTTCCATTAGCAGTGATGCATTAGGTCTTGGCCCCTGCTAACTCCTAGGAGAAAAAGCAGGGAGGAAGGAGAGCCTGCATATGCCCTTTCCTGCCCTCCTTTTGTGGGTTGTTCTTAAGACTGACCCTTCTGCTGCTCTATTCTTAAATTGCCTGATATTCAGATTGGTCCCTTCTAACACAGTTACGTGATGAAAGATGCATTTTTTTCCCTGTATAATTCAGCTCTCGCTTGAGAGGTATCTTTTTTTTTACTTTTTCTGATACAGTAAGGTTTCAGCAGAGTTATCCTTCACACAAGATGCAATATGAAGCTTAGTATAGCAGGCTGGTTATTCCAGCATCCAGTGTGAGAAAGTAATGTTTTCCTGAGCTGTATTAAACTCACATTCTTGGACACTGCATCTCCATCATTACAACTAGCTCCTCCACAGTCGATTTTAAATGCTAAGTAGTTACTAGAAACTCATACCAGCAGTCAGAGCTCCTTAGCTCCAATCACAGTTTGGAGCACCTCACTGGAATAAGGGAAGCTGGGAGAGTTATCTTCTAATAAGGTCTGCAGGGCAAGAGCTTTGCTTTCCTGAATTTTAGGACGTGCATAGGACAGAACAGATGCCTTTAATAGAATAACAAGCTTCATATTCCCAAAGTTCATGCTAATCTCCTCTCTTACTTACTAGTACCCCTAGATCTTGGCCAGTACAGGTGAGAAAATGTTGTGGTTTTTTAATCATAAATTATGAGTTCTTCTGTTGGTAATGTCTATGTTGTGGTCGTCCTTTTATTAGTTAAATTAATTGGATGACTGGCTGGCAGAATACTTAAAATTATGAATTTCTTCTCTTCTTATGTACTTTGCTAATGAAAAATGTCTCTCTTCAACCTTAACTCCGAGCGAGCCATTTTGTTTGGATTTTTTTTTGTTTTCTGTGGGATATGCAGTAACCACAGTTTCCTATGAGTTAACACAAAAAACTTTGAATGCAAAACACACTGGTTGCTGGGATATAAATAAGCTATAGTCAGGCACGACTTGCAGTCCTGTGTTTCAACGCGAGTTGCACAGACACCAGGTTGGTCTATGATTTTGCTGCCCACTGGTGGTGAATATAAAAACTGCTGTTATTACTGCAAATCGGACTTTCACGACTACAAATTTGTTTGTTGGGAGAATATACGTAATCAAAATTCAGGTTTTTGAAATGGTCCGTGTTTTGCTATTGCTTTTTCTCTAACACATCCATGAGCATGTGATTTGTTCACAGAGCACTGGACTATTGGAGTCGGTTGGAAAAGAGCCATGAACGCTTTGAGTGGGCAAGTCAGATCTGTAGGTCAGCCATGACTATTATTCATGTTACTGTTGAGTGACTTGATAGCTGATAGCGCTTCATCTTGCAGACTGTGCTTAAGTAAAATTGCAATTTCAGGGAAGGAAGTTTTCCCTGATTAAGAGCTGCAGGATGTTCTCAAATCTCATCTTATTCCCAGGCAAAGAAGCTTCAGCAGGTGCTAGAATATTTATCTTACGCTGTGTAGACAGTATTTATTTCTAAAGAATAGGCACAGGTAATTTGAAAGGTGAAACAGCTTTAAATTGTAGATATACTCAAGATCAGACTTGATGTACGTTACACAGTCAGTAACCCAAGCTACTTCTGTGAATGCTACATGGTTAACCCCGTAAGTGAATGATATTAAGAGAAGTATGCTCATCAATGGTGTAATGGCTTACAAGCTTAATATATGCTTATGTTCTTAACAGTCAGGAAACAAATGACGGTATTTTACTGACTGCATCTGGTCCTGTGAAGAACCAAAATCAATTTTGCTGATTAAAAAAAAAAAAAGCTGCATAAGAAAAAAGAAAAGTATCTGGTTTTGTTGTTTATAATTCTGGTGGGGTTTTTTTGATGCCTAAAAGTTTGCTAAAGAGTAATCTAAATAAATAAATAATCTTGCTTTCATACTGCTGTTGTGTACTGTGTGCCAGGTTTGAACTTACCGCTCCTATTTATGGCCAAGCTTAAAGCCCTTTGAAAGGGACTTTGAAAGGGACATGCTGTTATAGCCTAATCCAACCACGCATGTGTGCCACTGCAATAAAGACAAAATTATTAAAAAAATGCTGATTTGGTTGAAGATCAGAATGGTAGTGATATAAGAAATGCCCTTTGGTTTTGTGCTCTTACAAAGTAATGTCTGTATCAACACTTTCTTTTAAGGTGCAATTCAACCACACTTGTGCATCCTGCATTATGTTAAAGACTAAACCTCAGTACACTCTTTACCTAAGTAAACTTAAGGTAGCTCTTAATAGAAAACATCCTTGCAGGAATGGACCTCACCTTTGCTGTACATTCGAGTGGTAATGCAAAAGCATCTGGTGTTACTGTCACAGACTATCTTCATCCATTTAGAGAGCCTTAACAGTTCAGTTTGTTCTTAATTTAGAGTTGAACTGTGTGTTGGAATTTAATATGGAAAATTGGTGATTGTGTGTCGGCAAGCAAAGTGTCAGATTTTCTGAGGTACATAGCAGTGTGCTTATCGTGAATGACCTTCAGATTTCTGTGGTTTGGAAGTTTTTATGCCGTTAAGGAAGAGACCATGAGTACTTTGCCAGAACCATGGGTGTGGCAGAAGGCTTGGTTCCCTGTATCTCTTTTCACCACAACCCATTGGAAGACTGTCTGATGGGGTTTCCTATCTCCTTATCATGAACATCAAATAATGTCCATATTCATATGATAATGCATATAGCCATTAATGTTTCCTAGAAATATAAACTTAAACTAACTCAATTTAAAAAGAAGAGACCATCTGTCATAATTGTTATTGCTGAAATGCCCAAAAGAGCCCTCTATGCCCAAAAGAGCCCATTATGCCCTTTGTACTTGGTATTATATGAAATTACTCAGAAGAGAGTTAATCAAAACCATTAAAACCTAAGGATCAATTCAATTCAATAGTATTTTTATTTGGGGGAAAGCTGTGCACATGTTCCAAATACGCGTATTTCTAAAGACAGGTCCCTTATTTATCTGTTGGAGGTAGATCTCTCTTGCATGGGAGTGGGGGCTCTGAACTGGATTTTCAGTTGCCTAAATTAGCCAATTTTTGTGGTGTATATATATATGTTGTAGAGAAGCTTTGGGGAAGAAAAAAGAGTCTATGTCACCACAGGAGAGAATATCTTTCTTTCTGAAGCGAAGAAACAAAAGATTGACTCAGAATTATGTTCAGTTCCTGAAGCCATTTTTAACTGCTTCCTTTTCTAAATATTTGAATTTTTAAAATATATGAACTTCTTAAACTTACTTCCATGTTACACTAGTTTATTAAATCAGTATTTACATTTCCTGCTCTTGACAGTGGGATGTTCTATGATGGAAACCATACTTACCTTATTGAGCCAGATGAAAACTACACTTCAGATGTAAGTAGAACTTATAGTAGTCCTCCTGTGTTGTTTATTGAATACAGACATTCATGGGTACAGGGTAGGCGAAAGGCTCTGGGACCAAAGGGTCATCCCCTCATTCCCAACTCATTTACCTCATATGTGAGTCCCCATCATCACAGACGAAAGTAGACCTCCAAAAATTAGGCAGTAGTATTGCGTATGTGTACTCTGTAACACTTGGATGTAGAGCAGTGCAGCACCAGAGGGTGATGAGGATCCCTTGGAATCTGCAGGAGAAGCCTGTGAGTGCCCTGTCCCCTTCTCTGGCACTTCCCGCTCTGGATTCATTACATCCCTCTCCTCCTGGTTCGGCGTTGACTCCAGGTCAGCAGCTCCTGTGACTCTCATTGATGTTCCCTGGGCAGCTCTCTTAAGCCTAACTCTAAGCGTGCTCAGCCACTCCATTTGATGTACTCAGATATTTCAAATAAAAGATGATTAACTGTGGCGTTAGCGATCACATCACAGTTGGGAAAAGGTGAAGAGTGTAGAGTAATGGTGCCTTGCAACTTGCATGTTCACTAGTGTAGGTGTTGGGTAACAAGGACCTTTTGAACTCTTTAATGCTCATGAGATGGATTAGTTTATCCAGGTTTAATACATGCAATTATTTACTATTTCAGGATGACTTCCATTTCCACTCTGTTTACAAATCCAAGTTGTTTGAGTTTCCTTCGGATGACCTGCCATCTGGTATGATTTTTTAATATTCATGACTTATTGACTTATTTTAGTCTAAGGCCAAATTTTTTACTCATATTTGATAGATAATCTTCTGATACTATATTGTTTATTTGTATATCTCTTCTTTTCCCAATTAAATAAAAAAGCACTGAAAAAAAAAGAATCTGAAACGCTGAAAACACTGGAAAAGAACCTGAAGCGCTGAAAAAACCCTGAATCCAATGAGTCAAACCTCTCCTAAACCGTCATGTTGTGATGTATGTTTCTCTTAACAAGTCATGTGGTCTATGGACTGCATTATATGCTAGTAGTTTTAGAAAGGAAAGGACTGAGGTAGCCTAAAGATAATGAAAATAAACCCCATGTTGCCAGTGGTTGATAACTCTTCATGGATTTTTCCCGTTTTGAGATACAGGGTGAGTACCATGGTGTGAGCATAAGCCTGGAAGACAAGAACTTGCCAAATATTGTTGCTGTTCAGTGACTCTCTCATCTCCAGTCTGTTGAGCATCTTTCACAGTACTGGCTGTAGTGTGGGTCATGCGTTTCAGTACAAATGAATTTGGAGACAGGAGTGGTTTAAAGTGCTTGTGGTGATGAATCCCCACAGTTTATATTGTGTGTGGAGGGAGAGGAGGTTTTTAAAAAAATGAGTTTTCATCTGAGAAGTTGGCTTGTTAATTGATCTATGGCATATCCGCATTCTGTCAAGGATTTGCCAGTTTTACAGGTGCATTTTTCTACTCTACAAAATATATCCTAGATAAATAAAACTGTCCTTCATAGACACTGTCATTTTTGTAGAAACCACTTCTAGACTAATTTCTTTAGGAGAGTTACAGATGTCCAATCATCTTGTTACAAACTATTGTCCTATGGTAACAGTTGGGTCTGGGATCTTACGGTGCTGGGTACGGCACATAGATGGGTCCGTCCCTGGAGCACAGTGTGTGCAGGCTTGCTAGTTGTTAAGCAAAGTAGAATCATTCAGAGAGCTAATGAGAAAAAACAAGGGAAATTGCTACAGTTGGGTCACCTTGATTTCAGTTCTGAAGAAGGAAACTTTCTGAGTCTAAACAGAACAGTATCCCAGCTTGGTGCCTCACGTGCTCCGCTGATGATTGCCCAGGTGAGGTGGAGGCGGCATTGGGATGGAGGGGCAGCACAAAAGGCTCCTGCAGTGCAAGACGTCGACATCTGTATCGTGAAGCTTCCTATGTACATGCTCCTTAGACACCTACCATGGTTACTCCTTGTACTTGTGGAGATGGTAGTGTAATGAGAGCAATTTATTGAACATAAGGCCAAATAATAAAGTGCATCTTTTATCACACTTTCTTGAGGATATGTCATTTGAAAGGTTGGAAATAATGCAACCACTGCTGAGTTTAAAATAAATCTTCTGTCTCAGGTTGTTAAAGAGACTGCTAGAGCTGATACTTAGATATCTATCAGCTGTCTTACAAGATTTCCTGATAGTGAAAGTTTATGTTTTCAAGCTTTCGGAATAAAATTATTTTCTGCTTTTAAAATTATGAGAAGGAATTCATATAATCCACCAGTTTTACCTCCATCAAAGCTTCTTGATTTTCAAAAAAACTGTCAAAATAGGGCTTCATTTTTTTTTCATGAAAATCCAAATATGCTTGTACAGTTTTGATTTTACCATAGATAACAAGTAAATAGTTGCTGGCTTTGCTGTACAAAGCCCGGCACGTGACATAATGGAAGATGTTGCCATTATATTGAATTAGAATCACAAGATTGTAGAAAAGGTTGAAAAGGAGATTTAATTGTGGAGTGCTGGTAGTCTTAATTATACAAATATTTGTAACGTGAATAAGAGGTAAAAAGTGCTAATCTTCTATTGCTTTATGTTTAGGATCCCATATATGGAGAAATAAATTTTAACTCGGTCTGCTCTCCCACATGCCCATACTTGTTTTTGTAAAACTGTTTGGAAAGATGTTTCTGAGGTTTGTAGTAAAAGTTTCAGTAGATGTGGTAGATTATATCCTCATTAGGAATCCCACCATTTTTCTTTGTGATTATTCAATTTATCTCTGTCTTTAAGTCATCCTTCATGCATAGCCATAGCTCCAGAGGATGAGAGCAGTCCGCACCACCTTCTGCTTCCCCACCCTTTTCCCTGTGCCCAAAGGAGCTCTATCGTTCATCCCTCAACCTGCTGCACACCCTGCCCCACCTTCTCCTTTGCTCCTCACACATGCTGTCCCACCAGTGTCTCTGCTTGGCACTGCGTCTTCCCTGCCAGTCTGGAGAGTGCTGACTGTTGTCTTGACTTTTCTTTTTTTTGTTTTCTTTAAACAATATTTGCAATTAATTGCTAATAGTATTGTTGTGATTGATTGATTTTTTTTTTTTAAGTACTACAGCAGAATCATTATTATTAGTAGCAACCACTGTGCTAGGTTATGTCATCAGTATTTCTTATATTCCTTATTGCTCTCATAATTTATCAATTTGCCCAGCCTAAGGAGATCTTCCTTGATGTCCAGATTTTCTTCTTATCTTTAAAAGAGTCTGTGTGTAAGCTAAGATTTCCACTCAGAACTGTGTTAGGAATGGACTGGATGTATCATCAGCTTCAATACTGATGTTAGAAAGCAAAAAAAATCAAGTAATAGGGATTACTGGATATCAGTGATAGTAAAAGCACACACTATTATACCACAGTTCGATAACAATGTACTTTTTACATTCTTTTGCTCCTTGGGTATTAAAAAAAAAAAAAAAAAAGCAAGCTATTGCAGAAAAGAATTAATTGTACTGTATTTTGCAATGGTCTGAGGCGATAATGAGGACTTTGAATAAGGAAAGCTTGGATCGATGACTTGGCATGCTTAGAGCATTTGTCTTCATAATTTAGTAGACTATTTTTTCTCACAGTCTGTATTAAGACATATAGTGCCCTGGCATGGTCTTAGACAACACTATGTAATTGAAGGTGTTGTTTTTCAAATAATGCATAACAGATGTCCTTTTCTTTTGAGGTCACTTGAAAGATGTGTAGATGTGGCACTTAGGGACATAGTTTAGTGGGCCTTGGCAGTGTTAGGTTTACAGTTGGACTCAATAACCTTAAAGGTCTTTTCCAGCCTAAATGATTCTATGAATCCTCATTACACTTTTTCAAGGTAATATGTTCCCATCAAGATTTCTGCTAAGCTTTCTCAGCTATCTACATTTCCTGTGATTTTGCTGGTCATGTTTTTCGCCTGAGGGTCCCTGGCTGGAAATGCACCCTGCGTGAATTTATCCAGCTTGTGAATTATAGCGCAGTGTTAATGTGTGTTAATGTGTTAACGTTACTGGCTGCATCATTCCCCTCTAGAGATGACTGACTTCCGATGGTGGGTAAAAAGATCGCATTTGCTGGTAAAGTTATCTGAGACCCTATATACATATTGTAAATTATTATTTTACAAGAAATTCTTCACTATGAGGGTGGTGAGGCACTGGAGAAGAGAAGTTGTGGATGCCCCATCCCTGGAAGTGTTCAAGGCCAGGTTGGATGGGGCTTTGAGCAACCTGGTCTAGCGGAAGGTGGGCCCCTGCCCATGGCAGCGGGGGTTGGAACTAGATGATCTTTAAGGTCCCTTCCAACCCAAACCATTCTATGATTCCATGATTTTGTTGATTGAAAAGTTGTATTTTTACCAGTTTCATTAACCATGATATAAAGCCTAAAATCACAGGTTGAGAGCCAGTTGTGTGGCACTAGAACACAGACTAAATTAATCAACATGTGTAAAGCATAATCAAAAACAAATTTGTAAAAAAAAATTCAAGATTTAGTTTCTCATCATTGGGAGCTGTAGAGACTGCAGGTCTTTAAGCAATAAATAGGGACCCTTGGATGTGATTTAATTTATTTTAGGTCCCTTTTGTAAAGAAAATCCTCAAGTGCACTGGTGTAATCATGAAAACATTTTTAAGCAAAGGGCCTATGATTGTCCAGGCCCCTCCATAAAAAGATATCTGCAAACTTTACATACCAAAATGACAGTATAATCCCGAAGATTTACCCAAGACAATACCGGTTAGTCATGCTTTGCTTTCCTGGTTTGTCTTAACAGTAACTAGCCAATCCTAGTTAAGATTGGCACTTATGCCTGGTAATGTTTTGTCAGATGAGGAATTCAGCTTCGTGTTTTAAAGTTTTGCTGATATGGCAGCCTTGTCAAATTCCTATCAATCAGCATTGTTTTTAATCCTATTGTTTGAATCTCATGCAGAAATTGCACAGTTAATGTACAGCAGGTGGGAGGTGGAGCTGTGAGAAACTTCCCTGTCTCACCAGCAAAACTGAACTGTTTAGGATTTTGTAACACAACCAAAAGTTGTGTACAAAGGTATATGAACTGGAAGTCCCTTAATTTACACAGCTTCTATAGTACTGTCTACTTCTCTGTAGGATTGATAGAATCACTCTGGAATACTGAAAGCGGTTTTCAATCCCAGGAGTCTGAAAGGATGTCCAAAGCTGGAGAACGTACAAAGGAGGGGACAAAGGAAAAAGACATATTACAAAATAAACAACTGCAAACATTTAATTTACGTGTCTCAAAAAAAGATCTTCTTGGGGTTATGTGAATAGTAAACATGTTTATACAAGATAAGGAAAGAGATTTCTGTTGTATAGAGAAAAGTGAGGCAGGGACTATGAATCTAAAATTAAAGATGGAAAAATACTTCTTGGACATTAAAAAGGGTGAGAGCAAGCATTGTCTTCTGCTTAGTTTATAATGTGTCCCTTTCCGTCAGTGGCTAGTAATAGATTTGGTGAAAGGGATTTGGCAAAAGAATAAACTACTTGGTGCTTATGATTAGAGGTTTAAGAAATTAAAGACACAGTGGGATTAGCAGGGAAGAATATTGTATTGATAGTGGGCATTGCCAAAATCTCATAAGGTTTCTCCCAACTCTAACACATTTTACTTTGTGAATATAATAATCTTAAAGCATTAATTCTGCCTTCCGTGCTCTTCTTATTAATTCAGGTAGCTATTGCGAGAGCTCTGTGAATGTCTGCTGAATTCCCAAAAATGTGATTCACTCCATGGAAGCACTGTGCTAATAATATTACATGCCCAGTGTTGGTGAAGTTTTGGCGTGGAACATCTGCTGTGCTTTCTGAAGCGTGACACCCACAGATCATCTGTTTCAGCAGACCCGGATTAGCACTAGTACAGTTTTTAATAAGAACCCTGGTACTGGGAAGCATCTGTAACGTTGCCTCCTTTCTAGCTGGAAACTTGAAAAAGGGAGTTGTTACCGCATCTGATGTGTGGAAGAATGCCATACTACTGTCATGCGGCATCAGGGTCACTAGTTGTTGGGCTATATGTCTGTAAACATGAAATGTATTTGCCTGTGTTTTCTGCTTAGAGTTCTCGCAAATGAATACTACATCGCAGAAGTTTGTGGTAAAGCCAAGACACGAAAGGAGTAAAAGGCAGGTATGTGCCAATATGCTTGTTTATAAGTAATATACCATCAAGTTTGTTTTGTGTCTGCTGAATTAATTTGTCCAGATGGAGTCCTGCTGCTGCTGCTGGTTTGGCATGAGGTCTCTGTATCAATACAGCTATTACAAAAAGAGGTATCTACTGTTGACAAAACATTGTTGGGTTCTCTTGGACATTGCCTACCTGAAGAGTTATAAAATTGTTAAACACTGCTAAATTGCAGCTGAAAAAGTAGCTAAAGTATTTTCTCTCATTTTGAGTATAGAGTTTTATCAGAAACTCCCAATTAATGAAACATTTACAAATATTTTTTATGTTGCAATGGTGACAAGTAGCTACTTTATCTCACTTGACTTTGATTTAATATAAATATTCTAAACTGAGAGTTCATTCCCTGTTTATTAAAGTGGGGGAGTCACTAAGTGCAGATGTTTTTCTGTACCCTGGAAAGATAGCACCAGTTCTTTGCATTTTAGGAACGGAGCTCAAATAATAGTACAGGTCAAAACAGAGCCGTGTCAGGGGGGCTGAACAGTGCAGGCAAAAATGAAATACTGAGAGCAGTGGGAGGGGAAGATGACTTTAACATCTCTAACTAATGCAAGCCTCTCAGAGGCAAAAGAAAAGTGAGAAAGACATTGGAGAAATTCCAGAAGTCATTCTTGAGGATCTTACTTTATATCAGGTGGTTTGCTACCTTTCTATAAACTAGCTATTACTCTGCATTTTTAAATCATAACAATGTAATAACTCTCCTGGAAAACCCAGGAAAACAAGGACACCATGAAGAAGCATCATCATAAATGTTTCTAAGTGTAAAGTAAGCGTAAAACAGAGGTAAGTACTGCGTTCACTGTGTGAATTGAGCAGTGTGCAAATAAATAATAGAATTGTTACAGAGATTTTTCATAACGAATGCAGGAGGTATCCCTTTCTCTGTGGAAAAAAAAGTTTATAGCTGACACAAGCCATTTTTAGAGATACAGGCCCTGCTGAGGATTCTCTTTCTTTCAAAAAACCTAAACTTGGGATTAGATGGGTTGAAAGGCTTGATTTCATTGTTTAAGGTCATATAAATGTCTAGGTGGAGGTGAAAGAATTTTTGTAAATTATGCAGCTAAGCACCAGAAGTTTCATCAATATCTGAGACCAGAATTAAGACAATAGAAAAAATGTATGCATGAGAAGTTTGGTTTCTGAAGTAATTTCTAGTTACCAGTTACACTCTCTCTGTAGGACACTCTTACAGTTGTACTGTCTCTGTAGGTTCGTCAGATTCCACGTAAAGTTGAAGAGGAAACAAAATACATTGAGTTAATGATTGTCAATGATCATCTCATGGTAAGACTGACACACTTCAACATCTTACAATTATTAACATCAAATTGTCTTAATTGGTTGATAAAGGATAACAATAAAGAACAATATATGGCCAGAATAAATTCAGTATGCCCTTAAGAGAAGAGATTATGGTCTCATTAACCATTGATGAAATTGCTTCTGAATTTTGGCAAGGTAATTTCATCAAGAATGCAACCAGGCCTGAGTGTCAGACAGAAGGGTCATGAATTAAAGCTTTGTGTCATGAAGTAACTAATGTCAGTGTGACTTAAGCTGATGATTTTCTTTCTGGTTTTCTTGAGCACTTATCTTACTTATAGCCACTCAGCAATCAATAATGCACTTACGCAATTGTGTAGCAGCTGTTGACAATGGGGAGATTAACAGTGACTAGATTTTTTTGATATGTTGAAATCAGTATAGAGAAAATTATTTTGTTAAGCTTGTATACTTTCGCTGGGAGAACATAAATAGGCTCTTTAACGTAGAGACATAATAAAGATTAGTGTATTGAATTAAAACCAGGCTTATTCAAGTGGGAAAAGGCACAGATTTATGTCAGTGAAGATGATTAATAATTAATGAAAGGAATATCAAAGGAAATGCTGAATTCTCCATTGCTTGCAGTCTTCAAATCCAGACAGTGTATTTCTGGAAGATGTGGTGGCGTCAAACACAAACAATAGGATTTGATCTTGAAGTAACTGGATAAAGTTCAGAGACTGGTGGTGCCCCTCCAGCTGGTGACATTAGTTGATTTTATGGTCCTTTATGGCTTTAAAATCAAAATGTATCTATACATTTTATCTACCCTTTCTGTAACGTGCAGCATTACCCAAATTGGCAAAAATAGACATCAGAGTTTAAAAGGAATGTGTCACTGTCCTTGGACAGCATACTCCTCCTCAGCTCAGTTTGGTGAGCATAGCAATAAATTCTTGGATTAAAATGGACAATACTGGATGCAGAATTCCCTAAATTGGTGTCACTGTGTTTGATCCTGAAGACCTGAAGCCACAACTTGCCCCTTGGGACCTTATCTGTCTGGGCTGATTCCCTTCAAGGACAATGTTTCCTAATTTTGGTTAATTATAGCTACTGCGAGAGTCAGTCCACTTAGGAGTTTATTCTTTGAAGCAAACACCAGTGAATGTCCGTGGTCAAAGAAACTGAATAATTTCCTCCTGGCAGAAGGAAGTGTGTTATGCTCTGGGCTCCTCACTCTCCCCACGGCCTGGGCTAGCATGCATGTGTATTTGGATTACTCTGTATGCGTGCAGTAGATGCAGCACTCCAGATGCACTCAGCATGGAGCTGACACCCCGTAGAGCTGGAGCCATTTTCACCATTCACCCTCCCCACTGCTCCCCAGAGGGAGCAATGAACTCGTGCTTCTTGCTCTGGTTCGCAGAGCCAGCTGCATCCCGCCAGCCCCCCTGCCAGGGGTGTGGTGCCCTCCTGTCTCCCCCCTCGGCTGCTTGTCCAACCATTGCTTCCATTCAGGGAATAAAGCTTTTAAAACCCAAACATTGAAATAGGCTTCTAAATTAGTATACTGAAAACATTTCCGTAGGATGCTTAGAGAAGCTGGAGGCCTAAAGTTTGAGGTTTTATTTGCAAATAGAGACTTGAGTAGTATACTTATTTCTCTTTGTCCCTGTGCTTCATTTTTCATTTATTTTGTAGCTTTTTCATTTCATCCTTTCTACCATTTTTAGCTTCACAGTCCTGTCCATCTGTTTTTTTACTAAGTGTAACTTCCTCATTTTTGGTGGTTTTTCCCCCATTCCTGCATGAAAGCATGCCTTTCCCACCCCCTAGCTGCTGGGCACTTCTTCTTGCCCACTAAAAGATCCTACCTTCAAGAAAATACGGACAACTTTCACTCCAAAATCAAGTGTCATGGGGCACAAGATAGTTAAACATTTCTGAAAATTTTGGGCCTTTTGCCCTAAATTCTTCTAAGATACTTGTGACTTTCAAACCCATGGTTCTCATTTATAAGTTTTTTTTTTTTTCCTGCAGATAGGAGTACCTGGACAGCTGTCTTCAGTGTCACCTTTATAGCACTGTATTACAGATTTCAGTAAAGGTGCATTGCAGTCTGATTGCTAAAGTGATTTGAAACAGTTACTGTGGCATTACAGAGTGTGAAATTGCACATGAAGAAATCCAGAAGACAGCTTAAGAGAGAGAACTGAAAAAAAATAGGAAGTCTCATAGATTAAAACACAGATGCAGGTGCTCTTGGGATAACACCTCTAAAGGAGTCTCAACTATGGAAGTTGTATTGTTAATTTCTGTATTGGCATTTGGAATTGACTTTAAAATTGCCAATAATAAAGATAATGAAGAAAGTAACAATATGTTCCTGTTCCTATAGCATTTTTCAGTGAAGATCTTAGAGTACTTTCCAAACAGGAATTAATAGATCCTCACAACAGCTGTTTTAAAGTATATCAGTAACGTGCATTTCTGAGCAATTTTCTACTGTCGCTCATTAACATTACATTCAGCATGGGATACCAAACCTTGCACAGGGGTTTTACTGTTGATGCAGTTGGTTTTTGCTTTGTGCTTTTTTGGAAATGGAGCTTATTTTTCTGAAGTCTGTATACGTAACTTGTCTGTGTTTGTTTCGCAGTGTAAAAAGCACCGCTTGTCAGTCGGCCATACAAACAGCTATGCTAAATCGGTTGTGAACATGGCAGATTTAGTAAGTATCACTCAACTAAATGGTCTTTTACATGTGAGATGAGTCATATGATTCTCCTGCCGATGGATGCAGAAGTTGTCAGTTCATGGTATACCTAATAATAACGTATGTGAAGATCACAAATTTTCATCTAGAACCACAGTCAGCCACCTATAAAGCCTTTGTCTAACATAAAGCATTAGACATTTTTTTGTGGCTTCAAACATTTAAGTATCCTGCTGGATAAATCCCTTAGTCTGAGTTTTAAGGAGCACCTTAGGTACGACAATTTTTAACACAGCATCCCTATGTTGACAACCTGAAACCCAAAAGACAATCTGAAATTAGAATGCGCTAAAATTTCTCCAGAAAAAGTGCATTTGAGTAAATGAGTAAGAACAGGGACATACAAGTGGATTACGTGGATTCTATTTGTGACACTAAATTGGATGAGCTGCTGGCTTTTGCACCTCACCCCAGAAAAGTATTACTAGAAAAAGAAAAATGCGGTTCCTGCTCTTGAAAGTATTTGGTATGGAGTAGTAACCTCCAGCATTGAAAGGATGGCCCTTTTTTCATGATTCAGCCAGCATGAGGTTAAATACTCCTGTAGAAGTGTATAACAGTGAAAACTTTATAGATGACTATTTGGAGTAAGAGAGACCTCGTGTGTACCTGGCGTGAGCTGGATGTTGTAAAAGACCCATTAATTCTTTGTACTATTTGGAATGGTTCTGTAGTAATTTTTCAAAAATCCCATCTCGCTTCTATGCACCTCTGCCTGTGTAGGACCTGCAAGGAATCTTTTTGCAGAGTGAGAGAGCTGGTTGAAGAATTAGTCCTAAAATTTAGATTTTATTTTGTTTTCATGTTTGTTTGTTCGTTTTAAGGGGGATACAATCACCTGTGAGAACCTAAAGTGTGCTAGAACAAGCTAAATATTTAGTTATATAAAAATGCAAGCTATTACAAAAAAGGGGTAAACCTCACCTTTATTCTATTTGACATAATATATTTGTTCATTCTGTTAATGTACTAGATATATAAAGAACAACTTAACACCAGGATAGTATTGGTTGCCATGGAAACCTGGGCTACTGATAACAAGTTCACCATATCTGAAAACCCCTTGGTGACCCTGCGTGAGTTTATGAAATATAGGAGGGATTTTATCAGAGAGAAAAGTGACGCAGTTCACCTTTTTTCGTACGTAACCTTGTGTGATGTTTTATTACTGTTTTTTTTTTTTCCTTGGGCGTTGCTTATCACAAGTGGCTGATGCATCTCCTTTCTGTTGTGTGTGTAATCCACAATAATTCACAAAATAATGTTTCTGATGGGGAGGTGGGAAAAAGTTAATGCACAAACTGCCTGCCAGTGCAACTAGAGGTTTGACTCTCATTTTAGTTTTAACCTACTAAGCCCGAGCTGCATGCGCGTGCATCCTTGGTTATTCTGTGCAATTACCTACTCTGCAAGCGCAGCTGCCTGGAAGGTGATTCATGGTTCCGCCTCGGAGGTTGGCTTCTTCGGCGGTAGAGCACAGGCAGCCCTGTTGTATTATTTAAAAGCGGAACATTCGTTTTGAAATGAAGTTTCCTACTGAAAAAGCGCTATGGCCTGCTTTACTTTGTTGAATGACCTGCATGCTGCAGGATTACTGAAGTGTTTCAGATCCTTGAAACAGTTTGTTCTCCAGAGAGACATTTGCTATAAGAATAACTGGGGAGGAATGTTATTTTCTCTAAATCTCTTAATTGTTTTGGAAATAATATTGATATAACAAAATATATCTACAAAAATAGAGGAGAGGTTCATGGCTGAGATTTTTGATCCACACGAGACAGGCCAGCTGAATTGCTCTGTTGGAGTCCTTATCCCTCTCTGCTGACTGTTGTAGAAGCCTGTATGAATAAACTTAACCTAAACACCTCACTTTCACATGACTCTGGTAGGATGCCAGGATACCCAACCCCGGTATCCACCATCTCAGAATTTTTGCACGTGCTTAATTACTATCATTGACTTCTGCCATGAAGAGAGCTAGTAAGATCTGCAAGTGGTGCTTGCAGATTTTGGTTTCTCTGTGTCTCAGTTCTTCATCTGTAAAATGGGAATCAGGTTTTCTCACATCCTTCGTGTATCTTCTCTGGTGATATTGTAAGGTCTTTGGGGGAAGTCTTATTCTTATGAATGCTTGTGGATTGGCTAGGACAAAGAGGGCCCTATTTGCCCTGTGACTGGGACTCTGGATACCACCGTAATGCTAATTCCAGCGCTGTCTGTAACACCACTCGTGTTTGAGATATTACATTCATAGACTGTTTAGAAATACCAGAAATTGTGTCTGTAAGCGAGATATGGCTAAGTTGGGAGGTGAGGTTCGCTGGTGTGATGGTACGCTGGTTACAAATGAACTTCCACCTTCAGCACAGTTAGTACGTTGTATTGTTTCTTGAAGTTTTTCTGTTTTCCTTAGAAAAACACAGTTTGCTGCAGCTTGCATGGATCAGTACTCTGAAGTGGAGCAGAATATATTTTGTCTCCAGTAACTGGCAGTCATTCTTGCTGACGTGGTCAGTACCAAAGAGGTGATTAGATTTAGGCTCAGAGTGCATCTGTCCATTGGATGAGATCGACTGCAGTTCCAGGGAGTTTTCACCTCTGCATCAGGGAGCCACTAACGCATCTCCCTTTGAGTTTTGCTACATCAGTATTGTCCAGCTAGACACTTGTCTTTTTACTAGTCACCCATGCGTTGGCAACGTAGTGGCCTCTCCTGCGCCCTGTCTGTAGCATGTGCCAGCGGAAGTCACTTGCTGCAGTAGTATGTCAATGAACAAAAGGCTGGTGAGATTCAGGTGGTTTGGCAAAATAGTCCCCTTATGCTTTCTTATATTAGGTAGTCTGAGAAGGAGGAGGGAAGATGGTATAACTTTTGTGGAGACAATTTGTCATGTGAGGGTTGTGAGTGGTTATCTGTTTTTCCCACTTTGTTTTTGCATAGTTTGCAGCATAGTGGTGGCAGTCAGCATTTGCAAATGCCAGTTTCTTATTTGAAAATCAGAAGGGTAAATACTGGGATGGATGGATAGGTGCAAAACTCATGGGCTGAGCAGGGTAAACTTTCTTTTCTTTTCCTTTTTGTCAAAGGGGGAGTCGATTTCAGAGCAGTCGGAGTGGTGTAGCCCACACTGGTGGAATCTGCTCCTTGCTTAAAGGCGGAGGTGTGAATGAGGTAGGTGGGGATATTTGTGTGAGCAAAAAGTTGTGGGAATTTATCTGCACAGAATTTATCAGCGCAGACATGTTTCTCAAAATATCTTGCTGCTGCTTTGCTGATGCAGAGTTTTAGTGCAGCTCTATAGAAGGGATGTCTCAATGAAGAATGATGAGTAAATAAAGTCAGATGTGGATTTAAATAAGCTTTTCAGTAGATTCTGCAATATCTTGTCATTCATACTTGCAGCCAGAATGGCAAGAAAGAAACAGACTTTCTTTTACTTGTCCGTAAGCCAGCCAGTTTTCCTCACTTGTCCATTATCTACCTGCTCTGAAGTAAGAACTCTAACACTATGCATCTGATTTTGCCTTTTATTGCCTTGAAATGAGAAAAACTTCACTTGTATCTGAGATAGATACCTGTACGTAACTGATTACTCTTCCTACCTTGCTTGTTTCTTTCAGTTTGGAAAGCCAGACTTAATGGCAGTTACTCTGGCACAGACCTTGGCCCAAAACATTGGCATTTTCTCAGACAGAAGAAAACTTATAAGTGGTAAGTTTGTTTGCTTTTTCACTCTATCTCAAGAGAAAATCTTAAAAGGTGGAGAATCTTATCAGTGTCTCTCTGATATGTATTTTTTCCCCATGTTTCTCACAATGTTGGAATATTTTTATTTTTCTTACAAGAACATGAAGAGAGACTGACATATCATTAATTTTCCTCTATTTAAATGCTGTGATATCCCCCTGCCTGCTGGCAGCACTAGTGTCACCATTTCATTAAAAATAAATCATAAAGGTGTCTGCCACTTCTATTCATTTCAGGGAGATCGATGTGACCCCCACAGACTGAATGGCTGCCATATTATGGCGTTAAGGTAGAAACATATATTATTAGACCTGGGGATGATGAGGAGCCTCCTCAATCCTGTTACGCGGGATGGTTTTGACAACATAGCTTTTTCCCTGTTTGCGTTGATTGAATTCCTCTTGTAGATTACCCAAATCTCCTGTATTTGCCATCCTACTGCTACCATTTCTCTGCTGCAACCTTGGTGTTCAACTTCTTAGTAATTTACCTGCAATGCCTTAATTCAGATCTCTGCCCCCCCCGCCCTCCCGAACAAGCACCTCACCCTCCCTGCTTCCATGTTATATGAAGTCCCAGCACATGGAGAACAATGGATCACTAAAATAATAATACACTTTTGAAACAATTTAGATGATGGAGTGCTTAGTTATTGGATCATGTGTACTTATGTGGCTTACATATAAAAAAAAAAATTGCTGTATTGAGTAATAGAACTCTGCTTAGGTGAATTTTGTTTCCAGGCATTGTAAAGACAGTACAGTAATGCAGAGATACATCTGCATGTAAAGGTTTTTGCAGTTTACATAATTTTATTTTCAAAAATATTCAGAAATGTAAATCGGATGCTCTATGCTACCGACATGTTCAGTATTAATTTTCCATCTGCATATTGTTAACCTGATACAGGGGCAGGGTAAAAGTGAAAATGATAATAGTGGTGATTCTCTTTCTTATGGCTGAGCAGAGGGGCAGAACACGGTTATTTTTTTTACTCTGAAAATTTGGGAATCAAATATCATGACATGGGAGAAGGCAGGAGAGCTGACTCATGATTTGCAAGTGCTGAAGGCTGACACTGCAGTTTCTCCTAACTTCACTTTAAAAGAAGGAAAGAAAAACAGGACATATTTTCAGAGCTCAGGATTGCATAGAGTCATGTATAGTTTTTGAAAGAAGATTTGTCAGTGTGCATTGATACACTTAAACTAAGGTGTGCAATAAACCAGCAAATTATTCTTTTTGATTTGTATTTAAATATGAAATGGAATTTACTACAGTGTGGTTTTTATGGTAAGAAATGTATTATTTTGGACTTATAAGACTCAAGATGTAAATATTTTTTGTTGTTGTCAGGTGAGTGTAAGTGTGAGGACACGTGGTCTGGATGCATAATGGGAGACACAGGGTAAGGCATTTCACTAGAGGAAAGTCATGTCCTTCATACAATGACATAAAGGAAAGGTGTGAAAACGTTTGCCTTTTGTGGTTGAGCAGAATATTTTCTGTGAATCATTTTCCAGAAAGGAAGGTATTAGCTGTACAATGTACGTAGAAAAGACACTTTCAAAGAAATGTGTGAATAAGTGAGTTAATGAGGGGATATGTGAGGATTTTTAGTGACCGCTGGTTTAACTGACAAAGCACAGGGCTCAACAGCCAAGCCAGGTCATTGCAGAGACGCAGAAGTATGCTTAGCTTCTTTTCTCCTGCAAGTTCGCTGTTGAATTGTGGCAACAAACAATGACACATCTTAATTCTTGAAATACTGTTACTTAAGTATGTCTCATTTTCAGTGTTTCTGTTGGAATCTTTCATCTATATCTTATCTTTTTTTATCCTCCAGTTTGTGTGATAATGTTAGAAAAACTGCTCCATTGGAGGTTGAGCATGCTTATACCCACATATAATGTCACTGGAGAGATTTTATCTAAGGACTAATGAATCAGCAAATTTTTGCTGCTTTCTAACGTGTGTATTCAGACCTTAATTCTTCATATTACGGGCCTGTGTTTTGTTGTGTATATGAATTAAACTATAGTCTATTTTTAGATATAGACGGTGCTTTTTAAATTAATTTCAAACTGACCTGCAAATTTTCACAGTAGCTCTGTGGTCAGAAAAATTTTGAACAAAGAAGCATATTTCATTGAAAGCTCTTTGGAAGGTGAACGTGTGCCTTTTTCACTTTGTCTACCTAAAAACATACTAGGATTTTTCTGATTTTTCATATGTTAAAAAGCCAATCTGAGAAACATTCTTGAGTCTTCTAAAGTGATTCCTTATCTAATGGTCTTTAAATTCTTTATCTGAAATCCAAACTTTTCAAATAATTAGGTACACAAAAAAAGCTTGTATTTACATAGCTTATTGATGAAGGTGAATCCCACATTCTCTGTAGCCTTTAGACTTAAATCATAAACACTAGAGATGGAAAGGACCAATTATGGTTTGTAAGCCATCATTCCCGGCAATGCAGGATTATTTCTGCACTTCTGCTAATATTTTTTTATCCAGTGGTGAGCTGATACAGGAAAGCCCTTGAGACTCCAAAATCTGCTTGAAGCGTAAGTACTTTCATGACTAAGGACCTAAATATAAAGATCACTTAAGTTACTTTGGGAAAAAAAAAATCCATGCAAAGATTCTCTGCATCATATTGTTTTTAGGTGATGCACTGTGCCTTAGGTTGGCACTCTGTACTCAAAATTTATTCAGTGGGGCACATGAGAGAGGGAAGCCAAAATGTTAGCTGTTGTTTGTTAAAAGCATGTTTTAAAATGGCATAACTCTATTATATAAAAGTTCTGTGGGCCAGGACCGCAATTTCATCTAAGATGGAAATGAACTATGAGCAATCTTTGTCTCCTGCGGTGTGTACAGGAAGAAATAAATGTATTTCTCAGATCAGGCCTGTTAGTGGAACAGGTCATGTTTGTGAGAATTACGCACTGCGTAATAAGATTCGTGGTATTTGGCATAAAATAATTTAGTGAAATGTTTTAGACCTCTCACTTTCCATGAGCTCTGTGTCATTGTTGGAAGTTCTTTGTCATTTATTAAAATTATTTACAAATTAGAGTTACAAGGAGATAGTCACTCTGATTCTGAACAGTGTAGTTTTGTACTTTTTCTAAAGTATAACATTATGTTTCTCCTCCTATTTTGAAAAAAGAAAATATAGTGTAAAAAGCATTATAGGAAGTAATCCTGATACCTTTTTTCTGTGCAGGTATTATCTTCCAAGCAAGTTCTCCAAATGTGATATTGAAGAGTATCATGAATTTTTAAACAATGGAGGTGGAGCCTGCCTTTTCAATAAACCAACCAAAGTAAGCATTATCTTATTACTGAGTATTATTTATATTCTATTTCCAATTTAGATGAAACCAAAAAGATTGAAAATTGTAATGTTGGAAAAAAACCTACCTGTGATTTTGATATTTCTGGTTCTCTCTAAGTTCTAAATTTTCTGGTGGCATATGAGTGAAAGTAGCTGATGTTAGTTCATAGTAGTTTGGAAATTATATTTAAATAAATTTTTAGTAAGTGGTTTCATGTCTAACAGGGTTCCCACAGGCTTTGGTCTAGAACCATCCCTCATGCAATTTGTTCTGAATATTGTAAATACAATATGTTGCTGAATTTATTTGCTGAGGTTTCAAGTGTCTTGGTAAATTTTTGCACAGCTTGAATTCTAATTTGCATTGAACTGATGTCGTTTGATACAAATCTCTGGAAGCTGAAGTAAGATTGCTTTTATTTCACATCTGTCCCAAAATGAAGACACAGCTCCTAGAGCCTCTGCAGGGGTTGCACTGCTGTGCAGCCCAGTGGCTTTGCAGGCACCAACGGTTACAAATGGTTGTGATATTCTCCCTGTTCGGAGAAGGGAAAGTTTTTACAGTGGCTCTCACAACGGATTTTGAGACTAGTTTTTCTAAAGCAGGAAGAGGCAGAGCAGGAGAGAAAGCCCGAGGAGTAGGGGACACACACTAGGAGAGCCTGTGGCTGCTGGGCACCCGTCACACTCCTCATTCCCCAGGCGCTGCCCACGTGGTCCCCATCACTGTCACCAGGTTTTGTCATCCCCTGAACCGCACGTGCTGGGGGAGAAACATGTCTGGTGAGAAGTGCTCGGATCATCTTAGCTCTGTGTTAGCTCCTTCCAGGCCAGTGCATGTGGCTCTGCACAGCCCTGCCTTGTGCTGGGTAGTCCCCACAGACGGGGAAGGCTGGCGAATCCCTGCTGGACCCTGGTCCTCAGTGCCACTGTACCTAGCAGGGTGCATTACCTCCCTAAAGGCTTGGAGGCGGGAGAGCTACAAAAGCGTCAGGACCCACTTAAATGACTGAACATCCCCTCCAAATTTGCCTCTAAAATATGAAATCAGAGGTCTTGCTGCATGAATCTTGGAAATCGGGAGAAGTGGGGAATATATCTTGAGATAGTATTCGCCTTTGCTTTGCTTTTCTTGTCTCAATTTTGGCCTGCTAAACAGGTATATTCACGTGAAGGATGCAAAGAGTATGAAATGATTAACTGAGACATTTAAGGGAGATAAATACAAAACAAGGCTAAAGAAACTCCAGCCAAGATGCAAGCACTTCTACAGTTGAGGATTTGCAGCAGGGTTTCAGTGTATTCCTGCTCCATTTACTGAAGCATGCGTTAAAATGTAAAGTAATGAGCATAATGATCTTGACTCTTTTCTATATATAATTAATGTTAACTTCTATTTAATGGCTGTCTTTCAACAAGCAAAGGAAAGAGGCTAAGGCAGAAAGACAGTCTAAGGTGGAAAAAAGACTTGGTAGCTGAGGGGGTCGCAGGTGTAAAAGAGAAAGTCAATTCTGGAGTGATGCACGTTCCTCCTGGAGCAGCTGAGAAAATGTACATGTCCTGACAACCACAGAATTTCAATAAATGTTAGAGAGGGGAAGAGAAGGCATCAAATCTGGATAAGCTGAGTCTGCTTATCTCTCAAAGGTCTCTTTTTCATGGAAGAATGTGTTATTCAAAGTGGAGAGAAAGCACTGTAATTCATTAATAAGATGTAAGATTTCTCTTTCTTTAAAATGCACCTGCATTTTAGAAGTTTGCTTTTTCCCATCTCATTAAAGGTCGAGAGAAATATTCATGGTTTTATTTCTTTGCTGAGTCGATTGTTTCCATAGTGTAATGTGTCTTGTTTGGGCTTGTTTTAGTGATTATGTTCATGTACGCGTCTGTCACGTGGAAAAAACCAGTTACTCTCATCTCAGTTTAGATTGACAGCATTTACAATTTTTTCTAATGGCATGTGGCAATGTGAAAGTTAGATGTGGAAGCCAGGGTGATTTAGACTCTTTTATGTATTGTTGTTTGGGTTGGTTTAAAGTTATCATCAGTGGATGTCTGTCTAATTCACAAGGCTGTCAAAGACAAGTGTTTCCTGGCAAAGGTGGTGAAACACAAATTTACTTTTTTTTTTCAAGAAATATGAGATAAAGGAAAACTGATGTGACAAGGTGCAGTGTTTGACAGTGCTCCAGTGTAAGATCAGCTGTGATCCCGAAAATTACATCAATGACTGCTGGAAAAGATTGAGCATATGCTCTTTTCAAATGAATGGATGAATTATATGACTTTTGGAGAAGAGTTACCCAATTTGCTTTTCATGTTTTTTCTTCCATTTCATATTTAGCTTTCCCTATGTACTGCAGCAAATTGCCCAATGTTTTAAGGCAGGACCCTCTGTTACTGCCATCTACTTGTTTGTATTGTGCAGCACACCTAGACATACTGAAGAAGTTAAGATGTCTGGAAAAATATGTAGGAAACAAGCAGTTTTAACAACTCTTTAATCATTCTAAAAGATAATTGCTTGCTTACATTTAATGTAACATTCTACATATGCATTTCACGCTGCAGTCAAATTTCTATTTCAATAGGGGCATCTAACAATAGCTGGTCAGTCTGTACCACAAGCCTCAAGCTGGTTTGTGGCACAATGAAGTACGCGGGATGATGCTCCATCCTGTGGGCTACTGGCAGAAAGGCAGCAGCCAGAGAAAAATGAACTGTATACCATGAGCGATGTACTTGTGCAGATGGCTCATAAGCAGAGTGGCTTCTGGAACGATCCTAGTTTAATTGGCGAACTCGGAGGACAATCTGCAAAATTTTAGTCTTGGTGATATACTCATATACCTTCTTATTTATGTAATAAAAGTACTCTTATGTTTTGTTATGGACAAAGAGAAAAAAACATTTTATTTTATTTTTGAAGAATTACCTCTAGAAATTTTAGGAAAATGGAAACAATAAAACTGGAAAGAACAGAGTATAGATGTCCATTAAAAGATAACATAGCATGGGTCCTATGTGAAAAATGATAAATGAATCTTGCCTCTGGGAAAGGAAAGTACTAGTGTAAATATACAGATTTAGACATTTTAAGTTACAGTTTAGGGGGGAGGCTGAAGGGAAGGAGAGGAAGCCTCACCAGCTATACTTTCTCATCTGCCTGTGACACAGGCTTATGGAAAACTGCTGAAAGTTCCCAACTGTGGTAGAGAAAAAGGGAAGGAGAAAGCATCCAACTGCAACAAAAACTGACAAAGAAACGCAGCCTCTCCCCAGTTCCTGCATTTCTGAGCCATGTGCTCCCCAAAGGACAGTTTTTCATGGCTATTCTTGAAGGTATTATGCAGGCATCAGCCAGGGACACAGCCCTCATCACTTGAAATCCAGAACAACAGCAATTGCAACCCCCGTGATGATAATGAAAATGTCATATTGTTTTAAATTTTTTCTTTTATTGTCACACCTTTTGTTTTTGATTGTGCCTTCTGCTCAAACGGAGTCTGCTGTAAAAATGGCAGTCTCACACAGAAGCAGCCATGTGACTCTGCAGTATTGCTGAATTAATTCACAGCATTGTTTGTTCTCTCACATTTTGTTTGTGCTGTTTCTAGTCTGCTTCTTCCTGAGTTGTGGGTACTGTGTTTTTGTTAATGCATTTGGAGTGCTAGCTTAAAAAACATGTTGTACAGAATAAATATGACAATGATTCCCTTAGGAGAGACATGCCCTTTGATTTCTGATTTTGCTCTGCAGCTTCTGGATCCTCCAGAATGTGGCAATGGCTTTGTGGAAGATGGAGAAGAGTGTGACTGTGGGACGATAGCAGTAAGTGCAATGTACTTTAAATTAGCAACTAGATTTTCTAGGACACGGTGCTGGCCATCACTGCCATTGACATTAAGTGGAGAAAGACAGGCAATGTTAAGGTCCTGCGGCAAAGAATTCATAATTTCTTACCTTTTTCCATCATGTTTACACAACGTGGGCCAGCTTTTTTATTTTATCACCACATAAATTCTGAAGAGCAATAGCAATAGCTACCTGTGCAGAATCAGGCCTTAAAAGATGTTAAAGAAAGTATTTTCCTAGATGGGAACATGACTCTGGTCAGTGCTAAAATGTCAGTATTTAATGATTGACACTGTGAAGTTAGGAAAATTATTTCCTATATTGCATAGCAAACAGCTGCACAGGAGCTTCATACCGAACAGTGCATGTTTTTTTTTCTGCCTCCAGGTGTGTAAAAGCCTGGTTAAAAATCTGTTCAGGTAGCACACTAAGACGAGAAGTAATAAGAGAGCTTGGGGCTCATCTGCTTTTCCCATGTATTCTGTTACAAGTGTGTGTGTTCCTCAGGAGTGTGCCAGTGAAGGAGGAGAGTGCTGCAATACTTGCACCCTGACGGCAGGTTCCCAGTGCAGCAACGGGCTTTGCTGTCGAAAGTGCCGGGTAAGGGCAGTGACCTTAACTGCAGCATCCTGACGGTAATGCATCCAGTTGGCTACAGGCACCACAGCACGTCTTTTTCCTTGCAGACCTTGTGTTTACTTTTCTGAAAGCTTGCCTTTTAAAATTGGCTGAAAACTGGTTCATCTGGGACTGTTCTCTTTCTTTTAGTTTGGGCTTCTTGGGGCAGGGATTGTGATCAAATGCAGAGGTGAATTAAAGCCTTCCAGTTTCAGACAAGTGTGAATCAGGTTGACGTTCCACAAAGTTTCATTAGATGTCCTTGTTTAAACACGCACATCCTTACCCGTGTACAGCTCGCAACGCCTTACATGTTGCTCTGGATTTGCCCCATGAGACTGAATGGGAAAATTGTACCACAGAGGCCCACAGAATGTACCACAGAATGATACAGTAAAAAATCCCAAACAAACCCGCAGCTACCAGAATTGTTCAGAAGTATTCATCTAAAAGACACCTGACTTCAGTTTTAGTTAGGTCTGCCTGTGTCTCTTTATGTTTGGACTGACTGAAATCCCATTGAGTAAAGGGAATCAAGCCCTATGTAAACTATAAGGTATTCTTCCTCATACATTAGTAAATTGTAAAAGGAGGTTTAGCCAGATCTTGGCTGTAAGGGAGCCCAGCTAAATATGACTTCAAATAGTTGTTTATACTCATTTAGTAATAATGATAATTACTATTAATGTTATTAAAACTGTGGTGTACTATGTGTGATATTTTTATCTTCATCTGTGGGCATTTGAGGGTTTCGTTTCCTTAGGAGGAACATTAGTAACAGCTGTGGACCACATTCTTGACTTTGTGCTCATCTTAATGTTAAAAAAAGAAAAAGCACGGATTATGCTGGAACAGATCACATTTCCCTAAGCACATTCCTTTTTTTTAATGTAATATAAAAGAATAGTAGATTGCCAGTGTGGGTGAATTTTGTTCAAGTATCCAAGTCACATAGGCACCATATTAAAGACTCTCAGAAAAAAATTAAGCTTGTGTGTACCTACATTATTTTTGCAAATGAGACAAGGGTTTATCTACATACAGAGTGGCGAGGGTGAGCAAATGAAGAGAAAGGCAGGATTTTGCAAAACACATGTCCCTAGGAGGTGTTAATCAGGACAACTCAAAAGACCATATATAACTGTTCCCAAACTTGGGGTTACCTTCCCCTGTAATACCCTCCCTGAAAGCAGGAGTGAAGGAGGGATTGCAAGCAAAACATGGTGGGTGTACATCCCAGCATCTGTAGTGTCTCTGACAACATTCCTGTCTGTCTGCGTTTTTCCAGAGACTGGCAGGGAAAGGATAAGCTGAAGGCTGAGAAAGTACCAGAGTCTAGCTCTTCCACTGATGTGTGCCCGTTCTCACCAGCTGTGGAGTTAGCAGTTGCCCCAAAAAGAATGTATATGCATGCAGATCCAGAAAAAAAGTCACAGAGCTGCAAAATGAACTGGGTATCACAGACTTAAGAAACCTTTCAGGGAAAATAAGGGGTCTGCACTAACAATTGCCACTAATGGGATGTGTTCCTGCTTTTACAGGTCTTGAGAGTTAGCACGGAAGTCTTTAACCAAAATGCCTGTTAGGTCACTGATACATTTTTCATTGTTAAATATCTTAGAAAATGATGGCAAACCGTACAGAATTCAGTACATTTATTAATAGTTTCTATTACAATTAACATTGTAATAACCATAGTGTTTATACCTAGAGCTTTGCAGTGTCCTTCATCTATAGAAAGAAGATCAAAATCACTCTCCCTGTTTTATAAAGAAAAGCAAAATAGTCACAAAGGTGCAATGACCTGGTTCAGATAATGCTGCAAGCCATTGCAGTATTGATTTGATAAACAACAGGGGTCCTGTGTCCCGGGAGAGCGCTTATCCTGCTCGGCCTCACACTCAATGCACTCGGGAAGGGGTGCCTCAGGGAGTGGTACCACTTGCACCAGTAAATGGCCGGTGGCTTGACAGGTGCAATGTCTGCACCAGGGAAAGGAAAGTCTTCCCACTTCAGTCAGCACAAGAAAATTTCCCATTTTTTATTTTAGTTAAAACTCTAAGAAAGCATTGCATTTAAGGCAGCATATGGAGAAATCAAGACACTAATTTTCCATCCTTTTTTTTCAGTTTGAACCTAAAGGAGTTTTGTGCCGAGAAGCAGTGAATGATTGTGATATTGCAGAGAACTGCACAGGAAATTCCAGTCAGGTGATTTTTATATCTTCTATCCAAGAGATGAAAAAAACCACCTTAGTCTCTCAATCACTATGAATGTTGCCATTTTGTATAGTAAGGTGTTTAAAAATTGTATTAAACCTGCTGATAATGAAAAAAACAGCATGATACTGAAATAGTTTTCCATATGACATTTGTTGTGTGCTTTGCTTCCATGCTTGTCTGATCTATGATCTATTAGTTATTTTCTCTTTCTATAGTGTTCTCCCAATATTCATAAAATAGATGGGTATTCATGTGATAACAAGCAGGTAAGTAGCACATCAACTTGTTTTACATTCTTTCTGGTTTTATAGATTGCTTTTTGTAGATTTTGGTTTAAGATCTTTGGAAGTCACCTGGGGCAGTTCTGCTGACATTCCTGAGATTTGGGTGCTAGTTATATTTTGGAGCTAAGCATTTAAATGAACAGAAAGTAGAATCACATATTAGTTGCCTCAATAGAAAATATGTGACAAATCTGTTTATTAAACAAATACATATTTTGGAAATTCAAGATATTTGAAACTTTTTCTGTATCTTTTCTTTCTTTCTAGGGTATCTGTTTTGGAGGAAGATGTAAAACCAGGGACCGGCAGTGTAAATATATCTGGGGTGAAAGTGAGTGAATGTTATTGTTTCTAAGTTGGTTGTCATTCATGTGGCTTGAAAGATTATCTTATCTGAGAAAAATTATGGAAGAGACATATTCAGAACCATTAAAACCAGCTAGGACTGTATGTCCTTCGCCCTCTCCCCTCCTCGTTTTGTCTTTCCATCCTCTTTTCCAGCTCTTTCTCTAGCGTTGATTAACTTACTGGGGATTATTATGAAGTCTTAGGTTTAACTTCTCATTAGTAACCACCTAGGGAGCCTACACTCATATTTATTGATTTATTTCAGTGGCTTCTGGACATTTTGGACCAATAAACCCTGGTCAATCTGAACAAAATCTTAAAACAGTCCTGTGGTGCCAACATAAAACTTTTGGTTGAGAACACTGTGCGGAGTTTCACAGGCCACCTGCAGACCATTTACTGCAGTTCCAGATTAGGAAGCTCTGCTTGCTTTGATTGTGCAGACATTTCCCAGGACCTGGCTTTTCGAAGTCTTCATCGTCTTAGAAGAGATTTGTTTCTGTTTTTAGAAGTGACAGCTGCTGACAGGTACTGCTATGAGAAGCTGAATATTGAAGGGACTGAGAAAGGAAACTGTGGAAGAGACAAGGACTCTTGGATACAGTGCAATAAACAGTAAGTTGATCCATTTAGAAAACAACTGGTATGAGATTTTTATCCCTGATCCAGTTCTTTAGCTGGCATGAAGAGGCTCAAAAAGCCTCTGTACAGAACAGGCTTCTCCTGGCCTTCTTCTGCAGACCTTCGTGCAGGAAATTCTGGAGAGAGAGGAGTGTCGAGAGGAGATGATCTCTGTAAAGAGAGCACCATCTGAGCTTTGGGAGCACTTGGACCAAAAGTGTCCTAGTACTCTTGGTGAGGCCTAGCAGTGCAGAGGAGAACAGCCTGTGGTGTCATGTCTCAGTGTGGTGTTCACCTTTTATGCTGTGCCATTGCATTGCTAAGTTGTCTTCAGTTTTCATTGTATTGTAACCCTCCACATCTTTTCCTGCAAGTTGCTGCCTAAACCATTGTTTCACATTCTGTATTTATGCAGTTGATTATTTCTGCCTATTTCTGAACCTTTCACCAGTCCTCATCAAACTGCACCCTGGTTTTTCAGATGAGTTCTCCATTCTGTCAGTGCCATTTGAATTCTAGTCCTGCCTACAGGTGAACTAACGTCCTTTCCCACCTTTCTGTGCAGATTTGATAATCTTACTTTTGTTCCATTACAAATTCATGAGTAAAAAATATTCAGTAATATGGGAGAGGCCAGACAGTGCACAAATCTCTGCACACAAGTTGTGAAGTCCATTCAACAGTTGAATTAAACTTGGTGTCCCTTACATATGTGTCATATGAGAGTTTGTTTAAAGCCAGTATCTACTGCTTCTCTACGGGCCAGTTACTGTATCTTAATAGGATAATAAATCAATTTGATACGGTTTTTTCTTGACAGCTTGTCGTGGTTTAAGCTGGCAGGCAGCCAAATCCCACGCAGCCGCTCGCTCACTCCCCCCGTCCCCCCAGTGGGACGGGGAGAGAATCGGAACGGTAAGAGTGAAAAAAACTCGTGGGTTGAGATAAAGACAGTTTAATAGAACAGAAAAGGGAAAATAATAATAATAATGATAGAATATACAAAATGCGTGATGCACAGTGCAGTTGCTCACCACCCGTGCTGACCAATAACCAAGTAGCGATTGGTACTTCCTGGATCACGCCTACCATTCATATACTGAGCATGATGACACATGGTATGGAATACCCCATTGGCTATAGCTGTCCTGGCTGTATTCCCTCCTCCCAGTCTAGCTTGGTAGCAGAGAGTAGTTGTCCTTGACAAGATACTTAGCAACAACTGAAAACATCAGTGTGTTATCAACATTCTTCTCATACTGAATCCAAACCACAGCACTAGGAAGAAATTTAGCTCTATCCCAGCCGAAACCAGGACACAGCTCCCTTCTTGCTAATACTCAGAGCATTTTTGATAATACATCTTAAGACTCTGTTCCCAGTCTAAGCTCCGAGGAGAATAATTTTCATCGGAAATGACATTATTTATGGGACTTACTGTTAGTGGGAGAAAAGCAAGGAATAACAAACATGTTACAACGCAAGTGAAGAAAACCACATTTTTTTGATCATCCATTTTCATTGAATTTTCTTTTCAGTGAGTATCTGCTTATTCTTTCAATGCAGGGATGTGCTTTGTGGATACCTTCTGTGCTCCAATATATCCAGTGTGCCCAGACTTGGAGAACTTGATGGTGAAATCACATCATCAATCTTGCAGTTTGGAAAAGTCTACAATTGCAGGTAATTGGAAATCCTGAAAGCAGAACAGAGAAAATCAGTATCCATCTTGCATGGAAAAGCAGCTTTTTCATTCCTAAGAGGAGAACAACTGTTTCCATTAAAATTTTTTTTCCTATTACCACAGGACCGTTATTCTAGCTCAACCTTTGTTAAGCTTCAGGAACTTGACTGCATGTGAGGAGTGCAGCTGTTTTGCAGTCCCCTCTGTGTAGTAGTTAATTTTGCCTGTAGAGACAAATGCTCTTCTCTGGCCTCTTGATTTTACATTCTTTAATGTCTGTGAAGTACTTAATGTACTCAAAATACATATGTACTAAAAAGACATAATGCCTGCACTGCCAAAGCTAACTGTCAGCTTAATACGTTGCCATATGTTAGCTGAATCTCAATTAGAGACCTGGTGTGTTCTCATATCTTCGCACAACTGAAGACTGAACACACGACTAAGATGAAACAAAGGCCTACACAAGTAAACTCAATGTTTTATCCAACACTAGCTCTTACACAGGAAAAATGGTCTTTGTTTTCACCATTACGTTTGTTTGATGTAGATATACTGCGTTTTTGTTTGTTTCACGTTAGGGCCAGTGAGATAAATAAGCCAATACTTACTCTTTCCTGGTCCTGGGCATCGTATAACGCAGACAGAAATGAAGGCAGCAGCCCAGAGCCCAGTTTCTCAAGCAGTCCCATCTAATCACAGCACAAGTCTCCAGGGTCCTCTTGCTTGTCTTGCAGCGGCGGCCATGTGAAGCTCGATGAGGAGACGGACCTGGGCTATGTGGAGAACGGGACGCCGTGCGGGCCAAACATGGTGTGCCTTGAGCATCGCTGCCTCCCCACCGAGGCCTTCAACTTCAGTACCTGCCCAGGCACCACAGACAGCCAAATTTGTTCAGGACATGGTGTAAGTTCTTGTACTCTTTAATCCTTTTTCCTGTTTTTGCTGAGTATCTGGCATTGTGTAGTGTACTAGCTAGACCTTTCAGGAAGCCGGCAGTGTGACTCTAGAAGTCTTTATACTGGAGAAGCTTTTCAAAAGGGAGGGGGGAGGAGGCACATAAATAGACATAATGCATACCAGTCAAGGCATCTTAAACAATGAGTCACAGTAAGTATGTATTAGTTTTGCAAAAATTTTATCAATCAATTCTTTTGCTATCGCTTCTGCTAACTTGATATTTCCTCATGCAACATACTGGAGAATATAAAGGTTTAAGAACTGAGAAACTTGGGTCTCGGTTCTTCCAGATGCTCTTTTTAATTGCCTCTGTATTATGTCAACAGCCAAGAAGGTTCATAAAGTCATTGGATTTTGTTGGCTGAGAATTACTTTGCTCTAGAGAAGAGGGCAGTGAGCTGGCTCTTGGCTAGTGGCAGCTTCTCCGCTCGGTGCACAGCCTATGGCTTTGCTGTGGCCCTGGCGAGTCCCTTAGTCCCTCACACAGTTTGAAACAGTGTCCAGGTCCCTACAGCTGAGCTAAGATCTAAAGGAGTTGTTCTCTCATAACGTCTTTTGTCTTTTACACTGCATTAAAACTCCCTTTTTTATCTAAAATTAACCACTTAATCATATTTTGAAAAAATAAAATGAGGTTCAGAGTCTCCCAAAGCAATTTATAAATGGCTCTATTAAATATATATTACATTAAAATATATTAGGGTGCTCAATACATATTACATATATTTATATATAACATATAATAATAAATTTAATACATTTATATCTAACATAAATTAAAAATTGCTGTATATTAAAAATGTTTTGTAAAATTTTGCAGGCAGTCAAGATCAGTGCTATATGACTGTACCTATACTGTAGGTATTAGTTATGGGAATAGATTAATTTTATGATTTTATTCTGAGTTACACTTTTGGCTGCAGGTTTGTAGCAATGAAATAAAGTGTGTCTGTGACCGATTCTGGGGAGGAGATGACTGCAGTTCTCGCATCAAAGATGATATATTTTTTGATAAAGATGCCATCAATAAAGGTACATTGTTACAATTTTTGCCAATAACTGGAAAAGTTTGGATTTGAGGAAGGTTCATTAAGCAAAACTAGATCTCCTACTCTTTCAATTAGCATACAACACAATGCACCATTAGGAGCCTCATTCCCTTCCCTTCCTCCCACAGCAGAAGCACTCGCTGTCTGTGAATGAGGTCTCAGAATGGAGCTGGATGTGAGTGGTGCTGCTCACAAGCACTCAGTATACCTCTTGGTACTCGTACCAGTGTGTCCGGTTGTACCTTGCTTGTCCCAATCATCTGAGTGGCCTTATTAAGGATATTGATGGATTAGGATAAGCAAAAAGTTACTGGGACTTTTCATATCTAGATGGAAAGGTAATGTTGCTTACATGATTGGTTTTTATTTGTAGAATCAATTTTTTATTACATGGCCAGTGTGCAGAATGTTGGCACACAAATTTTAGGCTTTCACATTTTTTGAGTGAAAGTTTTTATTCATCTTTAGGTTTGCATACAAGAGGAAGATATATTGTGGAAAAATGAGGGTGTAAATTTTTTTCATTTTAAGTCCTTGTTGGGGGACAGTTTTACCATCTTCCAGAATGTCTCTTTTGGTTAGTTTATTCAGCTATGGAAGGGATTTGAGCAAAAACAAACAAAAAATTAACTTTTGTTCCAATCTAAACATGTATTTGCTTACAGGCAGGTAATAAGGATGTAAGCTACAGCAGTTTAATATTGATAACATTATATTGGCATACATGGCACAACTTTCCCATGTTGTAGCAAGTGTTCAATTAAGGGAAATGGACACAGAGGTCAAAGCTTGATTTACAAATGATCTTTTTATGTTCATGCTATACTTTAAGATTGTATCTCTGGTTACAATTAATCAGCCTAGTGCAAGTTGTCCAAGCAGGTTTTTGAAAGACAGTGCATTTGCTGTTTTTGTATATTTTTCTTCTAAAACCCTGTATATTTTCCCCCTTTCTTGTGTTTCCAGGTGTTGTCAGCACAAATATAATAATCGGGGCTATTGCTGGCACCATTTTAGTGTTGGCTCTCGTTTTAGGAATAACTGGTTGGGGTTACAAGTAAGTAAATTGTGTTCTTAATACAGTAAAAAATATGTTTATTTCATCTGATAGCTGATTATGTTATGAAAAGAACAATTCTAACATAATCTAAAAAATCTAAATTAGATTATATTTATACAGTGACATTTTTATAGTATTAGAATTTTTCAAGCAATTCTTACATGTGTATGTGGTTTTGGAGAGCTTGATCCAGGTTTGAAATTTATTTCTTAGTTATTTCTTTTCTTTTTTTGTGGACAATCAGATTATGATTTTTCTGTATCTGACAAAGGAAATATAAGAATACAATCTGATTCAATCATAAATCTTTTCTAATGACAAAGTAAATTTAGCAAGATTAGCCTTCAGTCAGTCAGTAAAGCATTTAACTGTAGGCTTCCTTAAACAGATGTTTATATTCAGTCAGCTTAACCTGAAATTAATTCAGGCATGTTTTTCAGTAAGAGAGAGAGATCTGTAATTTGCAAATAAGGTGCAAGTTCTCTCCTGGCGTAGAGCTGGCAGTGTTCCGCTCACTGAAAGGCAAAATGGATTATTTTAGCCTGACTGATCTTTTTCAGTTTTTCTCCTTTTGTGAATTTCTTCTAAAAACAGAGGGGTTTCGGTTTTTTGCATGTATTAAAAAAAGATTCAAGGTACTTGCTTTGTCACCTGTGTTTGGATGAGGCTGGCTCTTGAAGTCCTTCCTCCAATAGATCCTTGGTGTGCTTGGAGGGCAGGTTCAGTTGCAGGCAGTGCTGTAGCTGGGACATGGCCCCAGCGGTTTGGCATAACGAACTGACACAATCCCCTGCTGGTTTGTTAGACTGAAGTAGGCTGAGGGCTGCTCAGAAATGCACAACAAAAGAAGCATTTGGAAAAAAGCATGAAGATTAGGATAGTAAAAAAATAAGTTATGCTGTCTTGGTATATCACCCTCAGCTACTGGCAGTATCTGAAAATCTGGACTTCTATTTTGAGTACAACTCCAGAAGTCAAGGGCACATTTTGAGATCACCTCTAGCCAATGGGAGGATCAGTTTTTGGAGGTGGAGAGCAAGAGCGCACCTTTCACTAGCAGCTTCACAATGAATAGTCTTAAACTCATCATGAACTGCACCTCCAACTCAGCACTGACTTTAACCATCAACATGAATATATTTTCCTTGTTTATTCTGATTTAGGTTGTCTATGAGTATGTTTATTTCAGAAGTGTTTTTTGTAGAAATATTTTGAGCAAAAATTTCATTCTTCATGCATTGCCTTTCTCTTCACATTTTTTTTTGTCTTTCTGACCATGTATACGTGCATACTGATAACTCATTCTTCTTTCTTTCTCTTTGTATGGAAAGAAACTACAGAAGACAGAGGTATGTGCTAAAAGTAATGGAATGCGTCTTGGAAAGCTCTGAAAATAGCTTTTCTTCTCTCTTGCTCATTTACATGATATAAAGAAAATATAGTGATCGCTATATTTTCTATAAAGAAAATACAGTGATGAATTATCATATTTTAAAGAATATTTGCTTGAATATATGACATTGGTATTTATTCTATCAATGCATTGCTTGAAATCGTGATTTCACTGGACTCAGCAGCAAAAATAATGTTTATTTCAGAGGTAGCTATTTTATTTAGGAAAACAGGAGAATATTTCCAATAAGAGAGACTGAAAATCTGCTGTTAGAGATGAAAGTGTTCTTGGGAGGCTGAGAATTGAATCATTAATATTAACATGATGTTCAGGAGCCTTTTGAGGCAAATTCATTCTTGGAGCTTCTTTGCAGTTAAAAATACAATGCAGTTAAATTGCTGTGTGAATAAAGAAGCCATTCTTTCCCACCACCTGGCTCAATTGATTTGTAGCTAAAGCACAGTACTGTCTTCAGCACACCCTTTCAATCAAGCCTGTGGCCAAAAACCAAACAATTCCTCGTGACTGGGGTTTGGCTCCTGGAAGACCACCTCCCTTTGATCAGTCATCTGCCTGGCAGATGGGTCGTCTGGGAAGAAGTTGCCTCCTTCCTCTCCCAGTCCCCCCATAGATAAGAGGGTTTCTCAAATTCCCCTGTTTTCTGCCTGTATCACCGCCTCCTGGTCGAAGCTGTTGCTTTGTTTGTTGCTGCTACCCATTGTGCTTGTTCTCCATTTCCACTACCTAGGTAGCGCTTTCTTTGCCAGGCTCAAAGTAGTTGCAAAAAGTAGAAAAGCTCTGCCAAGTGCTGGTTGCGTACTACAAGGTCAGATAGGTGGCAGGAACAGTAATGGGAAAAAGGCAAAGCTATTGAAGTCAAGCCTTATGGAGAGGTTGGTGGGTAGGAAATGTCACCCGACAGAAGGAAGGCAGAATTTCAGGGTTTGGTGCTGCTTAGTGGTATGCAATGTATCTGTAAGCGCAGACTAACATGACCATCAAGTCACTCTACTGTGGGCGTATCAGTGTTGGCTGAGGACAAAGCAGCCAAAACCTCGAAATACAGAAAGAGACCGCCCCATGCATGTTTGCATTGGAACATTAGAGAATCTAACTTTTTCAAATTCGCTCATCTCCAGAAATTAGTATATGGACAGAGAACTGTGAATATGCAGTCAGTCTGCAGCTGTGTCTGTGGGCATGGGCAGAGAGGCTTTTGAAGGCATTTTAAAGATGGTGGAGATATTTAGCAACTAAATCTCCTTCATGCAGAAAATTAAGTTCTGACTGAACTGACTTCTAAATAGAGTAATTTTGGATATGCACAAGGAGTGCTCCGTAAATGGAAAAACCAGACATCCATCAGACTGTCCAGAGTGTCCTTTTTTTTTAATTGTTTATTATTAGTCCTTAAATAAAGATGAAAACAAGCCATTCAGGTATTATTGAGCATTACATAAGAAATGATATTTGGTAGTACTAAGCAACTGAAATGAGTAAACTGAAAGTAATAAAAAGAGCAAAGGATTCTGTGAGGTGGGATAGTGTGGCTTAAAGGGCACAGCTACATGGGAGAAGTTATTTCTGATGGAGTACCGAGAGGGCAGTTTGCTGGAGGAAGCCTGAGGAGCAGAGCCGCCGACACTGAGTCAACTCCAAACACACTGATGTACTGGCCGAGGAATGTGGCGAGAACTGAAACCCGAATGATGCTAGAAGAAATAGCATGGAAGTACTGTGTTACACTAATGATTTATGTGCCATATAATTATATATTTTAAATACTTTAGGAGCATTAGAAATTCAGATATGTAATGAAGAGAGCCCAATTCAGGTCTGTAGTTGGACACAATCTGAATGTGAATCAACCTTCTGATAAATACGCATCTTAATAGGGGCAGACTAAAGCAAAAAGGCCTTGGAAAGTGCCTTGGAAAGGCTGAATAGATACTTAAGTAGCTGGTATTATGATACAGCCAGCTTTCAAAGTAGCTACTTGTACTAGGGATTTTTCAACTTGGTGGAACTGTAACTGGAATATTTGCACGGCAGTTTTTCTGCTGGCAATGAATTCACCATCTGCAAAAAAGTTGCATGACTTGATTAGGACTTTCGAGTGGATAGATAGTTTTATGCACCACAACCGAGCTTCTAGTACTGTTAAGGGATAAACTATTGTCAGACATGTTTGGCATTATTTTTGTGTGTCTTGGCAGATTGAGTCTACTGTGGTAGTCAGGAATAGCTGAGAACCTCTGACACTGGCGTTAGTTCCCCTGCACAAGAAAACAGTTAATAAACTGGAGGTTTTTCTCCTCCTGAGGTTTAAACAACTCAACAGGTTGCTATTCTTGCATGCAATAATGATCACAAAAATCAAATGGAAAGCATCTACCTCAGTAGCATTCACTTTTCCTGAACTCCTTTTTGATGCAGGCATGCATTCAGCTCAGGCTGCAGTACTTGTACTGCACCTGGGGATGCTTTTCGCAACCAGTGTGATGAGCCATTTGAAATGTCTGAACTTGGTTATCCAATGTCTCAAGAACCACAAACTATTCACTTTGAAAATTGTGATCAGAGTTTATCAGTGAAATGTTCCTTGTTTTCCCTTACCGAAACCACGTATCAGAAGCATGTGGGAGTTTTCTCTCAGATGGTTGAATTATTTAATAGGATTATTGTGTGTGGTTAACAGGTTTCCTCAAGGATCGTTATTCTTGCCTCTTTCTTTTAAACTCATATTTGTGCATGCTTGTGTGCATGCTGGTGCCTGTCATGTTTTCTGACTCTACGATGTTTATTATACTTTAGACAAATACCCCAGGGAGATTATGTAAAAAAGCCTGGAGAGGCCGACTCTTTTTATAGCGACATGCCTCCTGGAGTCAGCACAAACTCTGCATCTAGTTCTAAGAAGAGGTCTGCTTTTCTGTCGCATTTTCAGATTTCTACCTGTTCCATCACCCATTATTCCATTAGTCAGAACATTTCATTGTTTTGCAGCAGGTTTGATTCTTTCTTCTTTCTTTGTGGAGTGTTTGAAATAGCATCCTTTGTGCTTTGATTACTGATTTTTCTCACATGCCCTGAGCTGCTAATTGTTACAATTAGTCCAGAATAAACAAGTTTTCCATTGTAAACCAATTTTCGGTTAATCAAATTTTCATCATCTCCCTGCTTGAGAATTGTTTTCAAGTAGACTGTAATAATAATTGCTGGCTCAAAAAAAAATTAAATAAAAGAACCATAATCTTTTAAATCATGGTCATGTAATCAAAGAAAAGGAACGCTGTCTTGCTTCAATAATAGTTATAAACATAAGCTGTTCCATATAAATGTTATTTTTATATCTTTATTTGTCAGCATCATTAATTCACTGAGTTTACCTAGAGTTCTGGATAATATTCTTGCTGTCTCACATTAAAGATGATGGTGCTTGCATTTTATTCCACTTACTAGACTAGTATACTAAATGGTCACCAAGCGTTATCTTAGAAAATAATTTTACAAAGACTTTCTGTAGTTTTGTGCTTGCTATTATGAGTAACCAAGGAGGGCATTAGATTTTGCCCTTGATCAGATTTCACCAATTCTGCTATTGATCCAGTTACTTTAAAAGCCCAACAACATTTTAAAATGGAAAATTCATTGAAAAGCGTTGAGAGTCATTTGTAATTGGTAAGGTCATTGGGTCATGATGCTCACCATCCCTCTGCAGTTAGAGAACCTTTAATTATGAAAATCTCCAGCTAGCACTTTATAAGAATTTATGAGAAGCACTATGAGAAGTACTACGTTGTAGGAGGGATAGACAGTCCTGAATCGCAATTCTCAATTCTTGTCTCTCTGAGCAGTCTATAACTGTGCAGTTGATGAAGCCATTTTCTTTGTTGTTATTTCAAAGAAAGTAGAGAGAAATGTATGGAAGGGATACATTTGCAGTGACATTTGCTATTTGGTATAGCAGCTTGATCCTATATGCAACTTCATTCAATCTGTTCTAATGAATATGTTATTAAGAAAACTGTAGTAGTGTATAATTAATTAATGATTTCTAATTTTTAAATTCAGCTTTTTAGATTTGTGAGTGGATAAATTATTTGTTTTCAGGGAGCAAGTGTCAATCTTAAATGATGCATTGTTTGTGTTGGAGAATATTTTCTCATTTGGATAAAATTTTTTAAAAAGTCTTGGGGAAGCAAGTTTTCATAGCCTTGTGTAAGCAGGTTCAAATACCAGTTAAGAAAAAAAAGTTTTTTTTTAAATGAGTATCATTTAATGTGTTTCTTCTTTCATTCAGTATCTGTGTTTCTTTTCATATTTCATTTCTTTCATGTGTCTCCGTTTATTATTTGTTCCAAAAAGCTAATGGCTTCTAAGGTCTGTCTGTACTAGAGAGTTTTGTTGTTCCCCACCACCAGTTCAGGTATGTTGTGCCACTGTAACGTCTGGAAAAGTAAGTCTGACAAATATTCCATTAACGTTGTGGTGGAGCTGACATGGTCCTCCCATTTCAATGCCCAGAGTGCTACTTCCTACCTTCCAAGCTGGTTTTGATTTGCTTTGTGTGCAGATATGGATGACATCTCTTGAGAGACATCAGAGTGACTGGGCCATTAGTCACCTGGGCTTCTCCATGCTGGAAAACGCTATGAAGTCTTAGTATTAGGATTTTCAAGGATTAAGAGATAACTTTATGATAACTCTTGCTATTATGAAACAGCAAACACCAAAACCAGTTTATAGCGAGACACTCCTGAACCTGAAAATAGACCATTAGGAGGAGAAAATTATTTAAAAATCTGTTAATGGATCTGTTGGTTCTCAGACCTTTCATGCTGTAAGTAAGTCTGAATTAATGAAACGCTGGACTTAATTCAGTGTGGCTGTGATTAGCCTGGTCTTCTGGAAGCTGAAGAGCATCTGTCAGATGCCTGCCCTCCAAGGAAAGCAGAGACTGAAAAATGCAAGGGTATTCAGACTTAAAAACTACAGAAATAGAACCTTTAAGCAAAACTTCTTTGTAATAAATAAGCCATCTATTCTGACCAATTTTCAACTTCCTCTTGTTTTCTTCTCTTTTGGAAATAATTGTAGATCTCATGGCAAACAGCTGAGCAGCAGCTCTAATTCAGCAAAAAAAAGCCTGTTGCAAAACCCCATGTGTTGAACGTTGCCACACGCATCTCTGGCTCTTAGAGGGAATACAAGAAGAAAGAAAAACTTTAGTTTGCACCAAGCACCTAGATATAAAGACTGTTTTTGGCTTTGAGTTTGGCATTAAAATTATATACTGTAGTGACTAGCTGCCAAAATACAATAAAAATTCAAAATTAGCAAAAATGAGACAGAGTTACCCCTCCCCTGGAGCTACCAGGTGTGGGTGGGAGGATGTTCATCGCAGACTCCTGGGCCCCTGAGACTTGTCTCAGTGGGTGGAGGGAAGCAGTCGCAGATTTCCTGCAACAGCACAAGGAGGGAGTGGGCAGCCTGCAGGCGGGATGTGAGGAAAAAACACCTTGAGACCAGCACAGTTGGAAGAGCGGAACTGGGGCAGAGCAGGAAATCTGGTGTGCGCTGGTGCTTGTGCTTTCCACAGTAGACACGGGAGAAAGCAGTGCTGAAGCCTGGCTCTTGAATGTGGACACACCAAACCACTGCAGGGACAGCTGGCAAAGTATAACTGCAGGGTTTAACTAGAAATCCTGGATGCTCTGCTAGGGCAGACAGACCTTAGGCTGCGTTATGTCGCCGGCTTCGGGAATGTGACTTTCTGAACCACTGAGAAAACACTGATGTTAGACAATACCCTTAACAATAACCGCATCTGAGCCCTCCTATTCCAGGTCAAATGGATTATCTCATTCCTGGAGTGAAAGGATCCCAGACACAAAACATATTTCAGACATTTGTGAAAATGGAAGGCCTAGGAGTAATTCTTGGCAAGGTAAGTGTGAACCTCTGTGCTGGCCACAATGGAAACCAGCTTCTGAGCCATTTCTGCTCTGCTGAAAATTTAGCTGATCTTGGGATAGCAGCATGACTCCTTAAAATTTTGCTAATTGTTATTAAGCTGGAATTGGGATTTAGAAGCACCCTACACAAGTACCTTTTTTGCACAATGCTTTGGCACGTAGAAATGACATTTAATTTCTCCCATTCCTCCAGTATGAGCTAACATGAAAAAGAAGTCATCTGTTCACTCTTGCCAGCTTCTGTGATTTTATCAGGCAGTGTTTAGTGTTTTTCTTGAAGTATAGTGATTTTCTCAAACGAAAGCTGAAATTAAGGAGTCTTTTGCTCTGCACAGTTACAGCAAAAAGTAGAGAAAGATCACCTAAGTATCAAGTTTACCTGGTCTGAGGTAAATCAAGGGGACCAACCTGTGACTTTTAAATGGTTAAAGCTAATGAGGTAACGACTCTTTTGCTGGGGATGCAAAAAGAATATACGGTTTGGCATGGGACGCAGGTGAGTTTCAAGTTGTTTTACCATCTGTCTTTATCCTTTGATTTCTTTCAGGTAATATAGGAGGAAACAGAAAGAAAGTCAGAGGCAAAAGATTTAGGCCACGGTCTAATTCAACTGAGTAAGTCTGAACTTATAAAAGCAAAGCCAAAAAGTATAGTTTTCATATTTGTGTTTTGTAGATGGAGATTAAGAGTACTGAAAAGTAGACAGCTGCATTTTTGCTCTGTGGCCCATTCTGATTGCTGACTGATAACCTGGTAAATGGTTTGGCTAATGTATTTCAACCTCTTTTTATGTATTCTTTAAAAATTAACTATCAATTTTCTTTTTTATGTAGGCTTCCTCACAGTCGTTCCCATAGCAATTCCCAATGATTTTGGCAGCCTGCACCATCACTGCAGGCTTTTGTCTACAGTAAACTGCCATTGCTGAGTGTATCCTGGTTCAATACTGAATTTCTGATAACCTGTTTCCTACCCTTGTCTTCACCTTGGGTTGGGCCATTGCAGAGTTAGAGATTTGTATCTCTGCGTACCTGTCTGGAGGTTTTAGGAGAGGTATCTGTCTGCTTTGAGAGTGCCCTGAAGTTTATTGTAAGCCTGAAACAGCCAGTCTTGAGTAAACCCTGCAATAAATGGGTAATGAGAGCCCTTACGAGGCAACTGATTCCCAGACCTTTCCAGTATGGCTTAGAGTTGCTTTCTATATTGATTTGTTGGTTACATTTACTGAAGAGCCCATGTGTGTAGTGGTCCCCATAGGGAATAAGCCTGCTGGTTCAGGCTCCTTTTGTGAATGAATGGTGAATGGCTGGAAACATAATCTCTGGGCTTGTCAAGCACTGGCCTGCTCTTACAGCACTTACGCCACAAGGGAATTCTTTGACCATAGTGGCAATGACAGTGCCCTTTCCCTGTATCATTAGTACTAACTGTGCACCTGTATATGGGCAAATGGGCTTGATACCAACCCTGCTGGAAACTAATAATGCTAACTCCTCTCTGGGCCCTGCTTTCTTCAGTTTGGGGATTTTGAGTTTGTTCTGAAACTTTTCTTCCACCTGCCGTGTGCTGTTTTGAGGTGAGTAGGCTCAGAAAGGTTCATAGAGAAGACTCTTTGTTACAAGTTACAAGAAATAGTAGTTTGATGCCCACTGCAGTTATAACATTGCATGGTCAAAATGGCAACATGGAACCAGAAATTTTAGCCCCAGATCCCTTGGAGGAGTTTATCTGTCAAGTGCCCCTGTGCTCTTGGTCTATGTGCTGATAAACTCTTACTGGAACGTTATTTTGCTTGTTTTCTTTTCTCTTTGCATGAGACAGTTTGATAAAAGCAAAATTAGTTGGACCAAACTGCCAAGAATACAAATGAGATTGCACATTCTTCTTTAGAAGCTTGTCCTGTGCTTTCCTTCATTTTCCAATTGTACCTCTTAAACAAAATTTGTTAAAAAAGAAAAAAGTTTAAATTAATGATACCATTATCCTTTCATTCAGCAGAGGTGTACACTGGGGCTGAATTGGTCCATAAAGAATGAAACCAGATCAGCTCTTTTTAGTCTAGAGTGAACGTAACTGCATGGGAAGGGTATTGTTTTCAGTAAAAGCGAAAAACCCCAATGGGCATATTTTTCCCTCTGTGCTGCTCAGCTGATATATTATACATTTGCTCTGAGAACTTTGGAACACTAAATAAGTAGTAGTAGGGTAGACAGAGAGAGTGTGAGTTGGAAATCTTTTTCCTGTAAATTTTTTTCTCTTTTAAAGGTGCCCCTGAATTTCCGCTTAGTTCTCTGCTTTCCTTCTTGCTGCTTGTTATGATCTCTCAACCCAGCAGCAGCCCTGGTGCTAGAGGGAGGGGGCTTGTACTTCCCAAGGGCTGTGCAGCAGCCTGTTAGGGATGAAGCACAGCGTGTGTGTTCCTGGGAGAGACCTGCTGGGCAGGAAAATGCTCTTTCTCCTGACGGGGTCTATCCTGGATTGCACAGGACCGCATGGCGTGTCTGAGTCTCCTTGGCAAGCCTGTCACCCCTTGGAGAGGGAGCTCCCACTGGATGATCCACGTGCTGTGCTAATTCGGCGGGGAACAGAGAGAATTGCCGAGTGCACAGTGGCTCTGGTTAGAGATACCTTCCTTTGTGAGAATGATCTAACCGTGGCCAGCATGTACTCATTTAGGAAAACAAAAAGCAACGCCAGCTGCTTTGAGGATGCCTCAGAATACACGGAGGCTTTTCCAGACAAATTTACCTTCTTACCTTCTCTGGGAAATATAGAAGAATATTGAAATCTGCTCTGAAATGGTGGACGGCATTTGGAAAGTCCATCTGTCTGGCCCCTGGGCGTCCAATGAAGCATACTTGTTGAGATGGAAGAAAAGGGGTAACGCTGTTGGTCTCCTGTTAGTAGTAGAGACAGTGTAGTTAACCACTAGGAAATTGGGCTCATTTGTGTCATACCTTGTGCAGAATTCAATTTTTTTTAAGCAGGTGCACGCTAGTACAGTTGCCTACAAAAGTATTTGACATATGCATGAGTCTGCAGTAACTGCACATGTTATGCACAAGGGGTTTTTTGTATACAGCCAAGCACCAGATAGAGACTTGTGCTGTAATCATTTAAGCAAAATTTCTTAAGCGCTGAGCAAGATTTGAGCTCTGCAGCCCTCATGAGCAGCACTGACAGGAGGGTTGCAAGCACATTGGGCAGTTCCTGAAAAATGTACTGCTCGCGCCTTTGTGCGACCCCTTGTACCTAACAGATACATGAACAAGGCTTCTGCTAAGGGTATAGCTCTATGGAGATTGCTAAAGCTGTTTTGGGATGTTTTTAATTGTTTCTAGATGTTTTAAAACAAAATTTGTTTTCTTTACTAAAGGCAGATGGTTCAGTTCACACAGAAGGAATGCCAACAGGCCAAATGTTTCTGCAGCTTTTTCACAAGCAGGGTTGATGAAACAGCCTGATAAAACAAGTTTTCTATTAAAATCAATTAGAGTTATTCGGGAATGATAATGAGAATTTTCTCAATAAGGTGACAGTTTAATTGGGAGCTTGTGTTAAAACAGGCCCCAGGGAACATGCGTTTTGCCAAATAGCGATTCTGACCTTTGTTAATTTGCACTGCTTTTCCTATAAGCCTTTGTCTTCCTCGTTGTTATAACTGATACGAACATCTTTGGCTTAGACTTTCTATTATATATTGTCTTTCTGCAGCAGGGTAACCCATGCATCTGAGCCTGGGCTTTCTCTCACCCACCAAATCCCGGCCCAAGGCATAAGCCCAGGGGGTTCTGACCACCCCCAAACAGGGAGTCGGGATCACAGGTCAGTCTCACCTGCCCCTGCGTTCTGGGCTGCCATTTTATCCCGTGAAAAGTCCTTCCCTCAGTAGACAATAGTTTCACTGTGGCAAAACACCGTGACTGCTTGGAGGTGCTCCTGCTGATGCAGCGCTAGCTAACCTTCCTCCTCGCCAGCCTGAGGAGTACGAGTACTCTTGAGCCCAGGTCTTTTGCCTTGTTGCATGTTGCGCTACAAGCCAAATCAAGCCGTTGGTCTGGCTATAGGCTTACATGTAAGGACATCTGTGTTTTAAAGTGGAATTTCTCACTCAAAGAAAACGCGGATTCTGGCCATCGCTAATGAACATGTGGCCAGGAAGATCAACCTGAGAGTTTTCTAATGGTATTACGTAGTGGTCTGCAGTAACTCAAGTTTAACCTTTCTGTAACAGATGAATTGAGGGGGTGAACGACGGTCTGTAATACAACCAGGCCCAGGAAACCCTGCAACGTGGTTGTGCAACAACTGCATGCTTTGATACCACATTACACTTTGTTTTCTAATACAGGAAGCCAGATTGGGAGTGTTTCATGGTTACCAAAAGACCCTTTCAAATAAAAAAAAGCAAGTCAAAAGTACTGCAGCAAGTACAAGAAAATGTGTAGTCGCACCTACAATTAAAGCTAAAGCAGAAGTGTATTAGTTCCAGGTGATGCTGGTGTCAGCCTGTTGCTTCACTTGGGGTTCATCTGTTGCTGCGCTACCACTTTTGACATTTTCTTTGTCTAAGAGCCCAAGCTGGAAAGCATAAAGCACTCCTGATTCCTGATAAATAAGTGAGCTGAGGAAGCTACTTAGAAGCACTTGTGGCTGAGGGCGAGTACTTTGTGAGAGCTGTGGCTGTGCTTGCGCAGGGTGGGAAGGAGAGGTTCCAGAGCAAAAAAGGAGCAATAGAAGTCTAAAAAGTGCTGCTGCTTTTGTCATCAATGTGGTTTGAAATATGGTGGGGGTTGGACGACATGATCTGGCCCAACCTTTACTCATCTGAGCAATCCCTTGCGAGGGCTGTTCCCATGTGTGAGGTCATTGGAGTCACTGTCATAAGCAAGGGTGGTGAGAACTGGCCCAGAAATATCGAAAATAACTTAAAGAGGGTTTTTCTTTCCCTTTTTTCTTGGTTACAATTTGTTTCCTATTTTGGAGTGTGCTAGTCTCTATTATATATAGGTAGTGATCACAAGTAATCATTAAACTGTTGCTATTCTTATACAACAAGAACAGACTTTAAATTGGACCAGGCAGGCTCCTGTTTCTACATTGCCCTTTTTTCTTAACATGACAGAGGGGGAGGAATTCGCTAATCTTGTTATTGGGGCCTAAGAGAAACCAGTTACAAAAAAAAATTTCTTCTTCCCTGGTAATATTACTGTCAGATAATTAAACACCGTCTTATTTCATAGTTTTCATGTAACTAATATGAGTATGCAGCTCAGACTTTTTTCCTAAAAAGTGTGGTTTTGGTGTCAAGATTGCTTCTGTAAAATGTGAGATAACTCTGCAGCTCACCTCCATTAAAGCTTCTTGTCATCCTACCAAATTAAATGATCATTGAAAAATCAGAGGGTTATTTGCACATAAGTGTAAAAATTGCTGCTGTAGTGGCAAACAATTCAGGCCTTTTAACACCCTGAGGCCAAAATTCATTCCTGTAGAAAGGGCCAAGCCCAAGTTTCTGTGCTCATTGAACTATTATCTTGCAGTTTATTCTAGATGGGTGCAAATGTGTGTCTTCAACAAGCAACCTGCAGGATTGGAGCCAAAATGCCCCTTC